AGTCAGGCTACACTCAGAGGAGACGCTAGTGTTCTCCGGAATTCAGAAGCACATACAGTTGGATTGGGCCAAGGCCCAACTTAATACTACGTTGTTTTCCTCAGTGACTCAAAGTTGTTTTTAATCATCTTGTGAAATCTAAGCAAATACACAGAGAATCCTTTTTGTTCTCACTTTAAGGGATTTTTTTCTCTTCCCTTAACAAATGAATTAGAATGGGATTCATGTCCAGAGCTAGAAGAAGGTGAGGGACTAATCTTCAGACACTTGAGCATGGCACTGAATGAAAATGAGTTGGGAGTATGGGAAAAGAAGCTTCTTTCTTGGGTCTTATGCAGCTACAAAAAGCGTCTGAATCAGAGTACAGATTGTCCTTTGAGTGTATATTGTAATTTTTTCTCCAAACAAAAAGAATCAGATTCTTGTTGAGAAGGTTACAGTAATCTGTATTTCTGTGTGTGTATATATGCATGCGTATAGAGACAGACAAGGATAAGGAGGTTTCTGGGTTTTGAAGGCTGGGAGATCGTCGCCTTCTCTGCATACATTTAAGGCTATTGATTCCATAGATGGCTGCAGTTATATTGTCTCAGGCAACCTTTCCTAAGCTGGTATCCACCTGTATTTGATGGACCATAAATCTTCCACCATCGGCCAACATCTGTCATACATTTTGGGCATGATGGAAGGTGGAATGTGATGCCTCTGGGGGATGGCAAATACTGAAAGGCTGCTATGTGAAGACAGAAGTTGCCAATTTTCAAATTAAGGCTCCAAAACATTCCAATAATGAAATGATAGGAATGGTAGGAATTCTTTATTCCTCCTTCTTTTTTAGCTGGAGCTAAAAAGAAGTTATATGATTTGTTAAATGAAGACAAGGATATAGTTTCATGGGTTTTCTCCAGCTCATTTCATTTAAGTTCCACTGAATGACCTGTACAGACTGATTATGCGTGGGAAGTTAAGAAGAATATTAAAACTCAGTGTCCTTATTGCTTTTAATGATGAAAAATTGGGATTGAAAATACAAAAATAAAATAAATGGATGCTGAGAATGACTGGAGCTTCTAGAAGTACCAAACTTGCATTCCTTCACAATTTTTGATTGAAGCCTAATAATAAAATATAATAAAGCAACAGTGTGACTTGGTGTTGCTAAGGAATCATATTTCTTTTAAAACGGACAATGCTAGAATGCAACGGAATATATCTATCCTGCACCCAACAGATGGCAAGAGCATAAAATCTCTCACAGTAACACATTTTTCCGGTGAAATCCAGAGAAGAACAGTAATTTCATTGCTGGTTGGTTATTTTGAGCTGTTACAGAAAAGGGACATATTTGAAGATTACCAACAGCAACAGACTGATGGAGAAGTTTTCAGTGAGGTGGTCAATCTGTGTCCAAGCTTTATCACTTGTGATTGTGGTGGGTGGACAGGGTTCATGCCTAGCTGACGTTTCTCTGTAAAAGTAATTATTTCTACATAGAAGATAGGTAATTCAGCAAACTTTAATTGCTTGTGTAGTCAAATACTTCCCAGCCTAAAACCTGCCTTTGGTTAAAGATGCAGGCAGACAGAAAGACAGACAGACAGGTACAAAAAGGAGAACAACTCACCCAGGCTGTTTTCCATCTTTTTCTCCTTTCTACAGTCCCCCAAAGTCCTTTCAGAGCCGGGGCATTTGTGGGGAGTGGGAGGGTGGGGGTAAATAGACAAAATGGCAGCTGTGATGTGCACGTCAGCTCCCCCTTTTTTAGTAGCCCTTGCGCTCTTGACTTTTTTGACCCATCCCCAATGGACAACCCTGCTTCAGAGCATTGAGAAGCCCACTGAATGCTGTGCATTGTTTCTCTGGGAGCATGAGATCATCCCATATTGGCAGAGGTCCCTGGAGCAAATCTTTTACCTAGGTCTGTTAAGCCCTGCAATTTGTGGGTCAATTGTGTTTGCACTGCAAAATGGAATAGCATCTGCCTGAAGCTGTTGAAATCTAGCGCTAGCTTGCCTGAGCAGAATTGTCTTTTGCAGTGTTTCTTAAAGTGTGGTCTGAGGACCCCTGGGGGCCCCCCAAGACCCTCTCAAGGGTCCAC